CCAAGACTTTCCAACAATAAAATCACGCCCAGTAATTAATAAATTTCAAAATGTTTTCTTTCTTGGTCTAACTCCTGGTTTTAGACAAAGGCAAATTCGAGGAAAATCGGGCGGCATCAAGGAATTGCAACAACCCTATTAGCAATCTCCCGTCGTCTCTGGCCCCGTGTGGAATATCAATCGTAGCGTACATTTAGCAACATTATTTAAATGTTTATGGATTTATATAGATTTGTAAACACATTCCTACTTTTTGTGCAACCGCTAATATGCACCTTACATTCGTCCATTACATAACAAAAAGACAACCATTAGAATAATTACATAGGCGATGCCCATAAAACACGTACCAACAAGGAAATTTAATTTTATGAGGAATTTTCTTCAAGAAAACATCAGCAATGTTGCAAGTTAAAAATCTGTCGAGTTTAACGGTTATAAAATAGAAAAAATCTCTGAGCAATGGAAATTTTAATATAAAAAATCTTAAAACGTAAATAAATATACATATATAAATATAAAAACTATAAACATAAAAAACAACTAACAAAACGCATTATGGTATTCTGGTCACCAATTTCGAAGAAATAAAGTGCATGTTTAGACCCCCGAATAAACGAATATTACAAAAACAATTAATAGTATATTCAACAACAAGTTTAGTTTAGTATTAATTTTAATTTTAATATTCTTATAAAAATTAAAAAAGACAATTTTACAATACAATTAATTGAATAAAATATGGTAGAATTGAATGTAACAGTTCTTTTAAATGCTATAAAATGCAGTACTTAAATGTAATCTTGATACTATAACATTCAATAATATTCTAGGCACAATTTACGCAATAACAGTTAATTCTAAGACGGTATTTTATACGTCGATCTTTTCTGAGCACGCAAATAGAGTACTGATCACTTTTTTTAAAGAAGTAATTGACTTTTGGTTTTAAATACGTAAAAATATGTATTTTTCGGGGTCTGGCGATGACTTTCACACTTTTGCCTACACCATTCGAAAGAGCGGGAAAAAATAAGTTGATTTAAAAAAAACATTCCAGTAGATGCTTTGTAAATGCCACAATTCATTTGTTAATTACGAATTTTGTGAGGCCGAGCGCAGCAAGGGCACTATGACGTCACAGCGCTCCGCTCTTCTGGCTACCGCTCAGCCGCGCGGATTTCGCTTCCTTTAAAGAATGTTTGTTGATCATTTCTTGGTCGAATCGTTTAAAAAAAATTCAGCGTATAAAGGAAGTCTTCTACTTTACAACGAGCCCAAGTTTATTACAAAATATTAAATAGAACAGGCAGAATACCGTTTTTAAGAAAAAAATTTATCTCGGCTTCTATTGGTCGGACGCTTTTTTTTAAATTTATGTTTTTTTAAGTAAGCACTATTTGATGCAATTGATTTGAAATATGTAGATATATTAAAAAATCGCTGAGAAAAGGACCCTAGTTACGTTTTTTTTTTTGGTTTTTTTGTTAATAACTTTTTTATTTTGCATCTTAAAAATCTGAAATTTACTCAGACGCGAGATAATGTAATTACCTTTCGATCATTTTATGCCGAATTTCGATATCTTGGCCTGGGCAGAAGATATACGCGCTCGCGTTTTCGACTTTATAATTTTGCAATAGGCCGCCATTTTGAAATTGGGTGTACGGGTTGCGGGTATTTGTTAAGCGCCCCAACAGTTATTTTTTCCTATATAGTTTCATCCAATTTCAGTCTAACTCGTTCTATTTATTTAATGCCGAAAATTTTGCACATTTTTTTTACACCGCTAATTTTGCAACGTAAAAGAATTTTTACGAGCTTTCGCAAAAGCCTACTCATGTAGCAAATTTCCTCAGGAACAAAATCGATAAATATACCTCATGTCGATTAGTGGCTTATTTTCGGAGATATAAGCGAAAAACTGAAAAAGAAGCAATTATTATTTTTTCTTTTCTTATAAACAATATGACACTCGACCTCTACAAATACACAAATTTAGGCTTTTATTCTGTGTATTTTTTACTTAATTTTAAGCCCATAAAATTCGAGGTAGGCCCGATTTTTGAAACAGGCATGTGTTTGGACTAATTCGCCCAAATTAGAAGGGTATATCGAGGAAAACATCGTCAATAAGTTGAAAATTTCAAAAAGTATATTTCATCAGCAAAAACTAGTGGCACCTCGAGATCATTGCAGATGCAGAATCAGCAGATAGATAATCATAATAGTTTTCAGGAAGAACAAGTAGAATTGAATAAATTTCATGTTGATAACTTTTTAAATTTGAATAATTGTACTTTTAATATACAATGTTTCCAATATAGACAAGAATAAACAAGTTTCTGTCAAACTGTTTTTATTAACAGTGACTTTACTATATAATAAAGTGACATTTCATGTGGTAAAGTGCCACTTTAGTAAACGATTTTGAATTTAGTAAAATAGCATATTATTATGGGTCAAAATGCGGATAAGTCATTTACCGCCACAACTTTCTTACATTGCTCTTATGGGCCGGCCACACATACAGACTTTACCGCGCGCTTGCCTGCACAAACCAGTTTGTATCGGGAAGCCCGTACGTGTGGCCGGCAAAACGTTATCTCGCACAAACTAAAAAGCGCGGCTTGCGTAAACTTCGACTTGCTGAAGATTTTGTTTGTGCAAATTCGGTTTGCACGGTAAAATTTGAGCGTGTGGACGGCGCACGGTGTTCAGTTAAGAGAAATTGCGGCAGAAAACCTTAAATCTCTATATGATCTCCCTGTAGCCAAATATCTGAGAGTACCAACTCAATCTTTCATGAGGAGATATATACAGTGTGTTTCACTTAAAGTCGGGACACCTCCGTATTTAGGATGGCGTTGGCCGATTTCCAAAATTCTTTTTTTTATGTGGTAGTACTCACAAAGGCCTAATTTTTAATATTATATTTTTTGACATGTGATCTTTTCTACGGCCTAATATCATTAAGAAAATACCCTCAAAAATTAAAAAACATATTAGGCATTTTTTTAAGAAAAAATGGATAGCATTTTCGATTTGATCACACCTCAAAACCCTAAATACAAAGTTTCATTATTATAGCTTTTACAGGGTGTTCACAAAATAGGTGCAAACTTCGAAACATTTCACTTATTGCAAAGTGTCCTGTATTAACAGTGAAAAATATTTTCAAGGTATATCCATGCAGTTTCATTGATTTTACTCATACAGGATGCTCACAATAGGACAGCCAAATTATCTATATCTTTTATTATAAGTACCAGAAATGAGTTTCACAACGAAATAATATTTAAATATGTATTACTATTTTCTATTAGTCCATCATTCACTCTTCAATTCGTCTCCTCTTATTTTTAATAACTTTTCTCAACTGATGTAGTGTTATTTGTCGACATGCTTGTCTAATTATATTACATAAATCTTAATTAAAAATTTAACGTGTTTTGCAGGATTTTATGTGATCAAATAATTAGGCCCTTCTTTTTTTGCGTTAATCTAAACGCGAGATTTTTATGAATTTTTTAAATAATGATTTCTGGGATTCAGTACATGTATTTCCTCTTCATGTAAGACAGAACCTCTACCTTCAATTATATGGAGCACTTATTCATAATGCGGTAATAGTAGGTACGTCATTGGTTGAATGAGTATTTCCCGAGAAAGTGGATAGGTCGCAACAGTCCGTTAGCTGAGTGGCCGTCAAGAGCTCCAGACTTGACGCCACTTGATTTTTATGTAATAGACAAACATGTCGACAAATAACACCACATCAGTTGAGGAGAGTTATTAGAAATAAGATGAGACGAATTGAACAGTGCATACCAAATTATGTGGACTAACAGAAAACAGTAATATTTAAATATTATTTTGTTGTGAAACTCATTTCTGGTATAATAAAAAATATATATAATTTGCTTGTCCTATTGTGAGCACCCTGTATGAGTGAAATCAATGAAACTGCATGGATATACTTTCGGTTAATAAAATTATGAAAAATATCTTGAAAATATTTTCCACTCTTAATACAGGACACTCTGCAATACGTGGAATTTTTCGAAGTTTGCACCTATTTTGTGAACACCCTGTAAAAGCTATAATAATGAAATTTTGTATTTAGAGTTTTGAGGTGTGATCAAATCGAAAATGCTATCCATTTCTTTCTTAAAAAAATGCCTAATATGTTTTTTAATTTTTGAGGGTCTTTTCTTAATGATAGTAGGCCGTAGAAAAGATCACATGTCAAAAAATATAATATCAAAAAGTAGGCCTTTTTCCTAAATACGGAGGTGTCCCGACTTTAAGTGAAACACACTGTACATATGTACATAGATTCGCGCATTACAGTATTTTGTCGGTTTATGAAGGGATCACCAATCCTAGTGATTCAGTATAATACCAAAAATTCTTCGCTTGGATACATATTCCTGAGAAACGTACTGATTGCTGCCTGCAGTGTCTGCAGCCTGCACGGTTTTACCTGCATCGTGTGGCCACAACACAGTATTCCGTGTTTATTGCGCAAATCATACCGTGCAGGCAAGTCGCTGTCGTGTAGCCTCCGCATTAGGGCTCGTTATGCGGTACCTACCAAAATTTGATATTTTTGCAATATACAGTACGGTACAAATCAAAGGAACCAATTCATTTTTTCGTAAATCGGTGAATTTGGACAAAAATCCTGAATTTTTTATTTTTAAAAGTGCGTTTTGCGAGATATTTGTTTTACGTATGACTTCATCTGTGTGACAGTGATGACGTCATAGATGTGTGATAGATTTTTTTAAATACAAATGTGGGTCATGCGATAGCTCTTTTGAAAGGTCTCGTAATTCTCTATTCAACCATTCTCAGTCACTTTAGGTAATAGAATAATTTTATAGTGGCAAAGAAAAATGGCACAGTTAACTTTGTTAGCAATAAATTTCTAGTTAAGTTTGAATGAAAAGGCGAGTACCGGCGATTTTTAATCAAACTACACTTTTCTTTTTCAGAGCATAGCAGACGTGGTCTCTGACAGCTCGTATTTCACCAGAGTTGGGCTCAACATCGTCATAAGACGAACAAACTCGGAACCATTGGTGCAGATGACCGCTAGAGAGTTCATGTTTGGGTACAGCAACACTCTGATGACGCTCGGAAACAACTTCATGCCTTCCTGGATTTATTTCGATAAGCTGGGTCTCATTGACCGGGTAAGGGTTAAGATTTAAGATAGTAGAGAGTAAATTTGCGTTCATAAATGCGTATTTATTTCAAAATCAACAGTGTAAATAGGTCAAGATCATGCCAATTTAATTAGATTATATAAGAATTGCGTAGATATTAGTTAAAATTAGAAATTTATCAAATGTGTAGTGTATGAAAAATAGATTCAATGAAATATGTTTAAATGCTTTGAAAATAATGATTGAAAAAAAAAACGAAAAACGAGCCTATTATAAAATTTTCAATAAATTGAAAACAATTTTTCACAAGTTCAAAACTTCCAGTAAAATTGGTCGTCGGATGAAGTTGTTCTCTTTTTTTAAAAAACGAAAAATTTGCTGCGGCATGCAAAATTTATGACTTTTAAAACAGCATGCATAAGCTTATAATTAAAACATAATTTAGTGTTTTCAACATTATTACATTTATGGTTTGTCAAAATAAACAGAAAAAAATGCGGTATTTCCATATTAATTGGTCTAGTTTAGACAAAATAACAGAAAATTCCCAATTTGTTTGTTTATTGGTGTTATTTTTTTGCTCGAAAATTTGTCGAGTTAATTATTATCTACTGGTTTAATTAATGTCCCGTTTGCAACCAAAATATGGACTTATTGTTAAATTCGTTACTTATGCAAAATACGCAATAGCGAAGTTGAATTTTAATGAAAAAATAATAAAGCTATAATAAATCAAATTTAATTTAGTTACTTATTAACATTAACATTTACATTTGTTTTTTGTTTTATTACATTTAACTTCGTTTCCGTTAATAACAACCCTTGTAGCATTGTTGCCATCATTTTCGGAACGCATAAAATCTACCGAAGTTTGTGAAGAATTTGCACAAGTTACGGATGTCTCTTCTTGTAAGGAACAGCTATATTTTCCTTGGATTTCCTTGCAATATCAAGTTTATTAGATATAGACTCCTCAGCATAAATTTCTGATACAGAGGAGCTCTTGCACCCACCATACCGTTTGACGGTTGTAAGATCATCACCTTCATTGACCAATAAAGTTGTTGAAGTGCTATATTTTCTGCATATTTCAACAGCATTCACGCAAAATCCTTCTTCTATAATTGTAAATTTTTTTGAAATGACCGTCTTGGTGTCAAGTATTGAAACAAGTAGGTAACTGCCAACATCCTGTACGTCACTAATTTTCAAATTTGTCAATTCGCAGCATCGACAGGCACCGGAAACCCCCATTATTAGTGCAACCTAAAATAATTCAAAGTTTACTATACAGGGTGTTAAAAAAAGAGTGTAAAATATTTCAGGAGGTAATAGTATGAACCAAAATAAGCAGAAAAGTCTTAATAAACATGGGTCCGCAAAGTAACGGTTGCGGAGATATGGACCACTATTCGTTTTTCAAACATTTTATTTTATTAGGAATAAACCGACAAAGGAAGCTTTTAACAAACAAAAAACAAAGTTACAGAAGATGTTCAAAGTGCCCTCCGTCCATTTCCAAGCAGGCACGACATCTTCGTCTCAACGATATTCGAACTCTTTCGAAAACACCCTCCTTGGTTTGGATTTCTTGACACTTTTGATTAATCCGTAGCTGCAGCTCTTCCAGGCTATTTACAGGAGTACCATACACTAATGTCTTCAAATATCCCCAAACAAAGAAATCTAGAGGGTTCAGATCAGGCGATCTTGGAGGCCATAAAACAGGTCCGGCCCTTCCTACCCATCTATGTGGAAAAGTTTGGTGTAAATGCTCTCTAACGGCCATGGAAAAATGAGCTGGAGCACCATCATGCTGGAACCACATTTGTTGCCTCTGATTCAAAGGAATGTCTTCCAAAAACTCATACAGTGTGTTCTGCAGAAAGTTGAGGTAAGCAGCGCCTGTTAATCGGTTTGGTAAAACAACAGGACCTAGAAACCTGTCACCTACAATACCCATCCAAATGTTTAATGAAAAACGTGCCTGATGTCCAGATTCTATTAGAGCATGAGGATTTTCGTCGGCCCAAATATGCGTATTGTGAAAATTAAACACTCCATTTCTTGTGAACCCGGCCTCATCAGTAAAAAGAATGTTTGCAAGAAAACGAGGGTCTTCAGCATCATGACGTAGAAACCAGCGGCAAAAAACCAAACGTGCTTGATGATCATTTATTGGATTTAAGGCCTGTACTCGTTGCACATGGTATGGATAAAGCAGTTGCTCGTGAAGGATTCTCCAAACAAGAGGACCACTAATTCCTACCTCGGCTGATATTCTCCGCACACTCGTACCTGGATTCTGCTCTACCAGTGCTAGAATTTCTTCTTCTGCTCTAGGAGTGGATACCGACCTTGGTCTTCCGGATAAATGGCACTGTTTGCTCAAGGAACCGGTATCACGCAATCTTTGGTGAATTCTTCCAAACATGCGTTGTGAAGGAATCTGGCGATTTGGATAAGCGTCAACATAAAGACGTCGCGCTTCGGTGGCGTTCCCATTAGCACGACCATACATGAAATGCATGTCTGTTAATTCTGCGTTAGAGTAACCAGCCATAGCGAAAGAAAACTTGTGCACTGAGAACAACTGTCAAATACGTACTGTTTATTTCACTAAACATCAACCAACTATTATAAGAAAATACACAACGTTTTTGCAAAATAAAAAAAGGGGCTAAAAAACATGAAACATTCCATATCTCCGCAACCGTCACTTTGCGGACCCATGTAACCCAGACTTTTCTGCTTATTTTGGTTCATACTATTACCTCCTTAAATATTTTACACTCTTTTTTAACACCCTGTATACCTAACAATATGTAAAAGGTAAAGAGATATTACCTTAATCATTAAATATCCTTTATCGAAAACCCCTGGATTTCGCTGGCAATAAATGGAAAATTGCTTTTTGAGCTTCTTCAGAAACAGCCACAGGAACATAATTACTTTGTTGCATTTTTACCAAATTTAGATAGAACTGTTTAGTAAATAATTGATAAAAACAACGTACCATAGCAACTAGTAGGTACAACAAAACCTACCACGTTTCATTGTTTACTAGTAAGAAATATCAAGTCGTGCGAATATTTTTTTATTAAATTGCAATAATTCTGACCTCACAAATATGATTGTAATGTGATTATGGATAAAACGTTGTATTGCATTCGTCTTTCACTTGCCTTTTATCCACTTAAGAATATTAAACGTTCGAACTACGTTTTCGCATTTATACGTTCTTGCGTGGATAAAATACTACTTAAAACATAAATAACTATCATTAATTTGACTGGATGCCTTATGCAAACAGGACTGTAATCACGGATCACTAAAGCAGACGAAGCTAACCGAAAAAAATTCTAGCCTGCACTACATACTAATTTAAGACATTTAAGAAAGGTTCAGTTTTAACATGAAAAATATTTAAGCCTTTGTTACCGAGAAATCGAAATTCCTTTTTAACAATAAGGAGGAACAAATAAAAACGAATTAAACTGGTGTTATCGGGAGCCTCTAAACCAAATTTCCCTTATGCAATTCAGCACATTCCTCATAGCCATAATGTAAGCGTTATACTTATAGACATATGTCAAGGCCTTTATCTTCTTCACTCTAGCAGGGAAACTCTTAACATTTTCTTCGCTTGAGTCTGTTCTGGTATTGAGTCGTATGATACTATTTGCTATGTTCTTCTTGAATCCGTCTTTCCAGAATCTGCTTAGCGACAAAGTAAGGCTCTAGCACTAGGAAAAATGTTTTAGATCACTATTTTACAGTCCCTGACTGTGTTGATACACACTTGTCAGTTTATTTACAGTTCATTGTTTGTCTACTTCCGATTTCCTTCCTTATTAGAGTTTCAAAATATTTATTTCAGTTGAATTATATGATAATTCTGACAGATTTTACTTCTAAAGGAAATATTAAAACTACAATAGATGGATTTGAGTGATTATTTGTACAAATTTGATTCATTAACTCAATATGCAAAACTCCACCAGCGTCGATATGATGAATATCATCATTTCGGTGTTTGTTTCGCTAACCCTTTAAAAGCATCACACTTTGTTCGTAGGCCTTCATGAGCGACAACGTGTCCAGGCTTTTTTTACCACGAGATCTTGCACGTCTTGAATTTATCTCACTGGATTTTAGAAACGATCGGGCAAAATTAATCAATTAAGCAATCAAGTTTTTGACACTGATCTTGTATATGTATAGACGAGACCAGTTTTTCAAAAATATAAAATATAAAAGGATATTTAAATAGCTGTGGCTAACTTAGTTTTGGCCTCCTCGAACAACCGATTTAAATCTTATAGGTATTTGTTTCAACTAAATCAGTCTTTTGACCATATTGAAACGGTAGTAAAAAAGTTGCGTAAGATTTATAAAGGAGGTGACTTCTACCCCTTGTAGCGAAGGGGGAGATCAACATGTGTTTTTAATAATAATAAAATTGTGCGTAATTCCATTTTTGTAATTCTCCTCGCACCTATTCAGAGAGAGGTGTAAATTTTTTTTCATGAAAGGCTCTTTTTTTCAGATGTACGAGTTTAATGGTGATTACGAAACGGTGTACACGGGCGAAAAGCACGGCTTGAAAAATATCGGACTCATTGAAAAATATAGCGGGTCCACGCGGATCCCCCAATGGGAAAGTCCTTGCGGTGACGTCACGGGATCCTCAGACGGTACTAAATTTCCAGGATACATCCAACCGAACGACACCCTCCTGTTCTTCAGGAAAAGCATGTGCAGGGCCAAGGAACTGGTAAGTCTAAGTTGAATCGCAAGTCTTTCGCATTTGTCATAAAAAAAATTGTTAGTGCCAGCACAATTTTAATGTATTTAATGATTTTGTGAACTTTAAGGACCTGACCAATATTTAATTAGTTACAATTTTTTGTGGTACATTCGCACAACATTTCAACAATTGTGTCAACAGAGCTTCCCATTGTATTGTTCTAATTATAGCTTTATGGATTATTATTGCATATCTTGAAATTGTTAAACAGTTATATAATAGGATTAAAATTACCACATATGTTGCAGTGAACGCGAAAATTAGGAGATAAATTATAAAATATAGCAAATATTTTAGAGTGAAAACACAATTTTTGCGAACAAGATCGCTGGACACTTTCTGATTAAATAAAATTGGGTATTCGTTTTGTTTTGTCTGTATGTTCTGAATTTCAGAAAACGTAAATAACGAACAATAATGTCACGGCGAAAAAACTACATAAATAACAATTAAAATAAAGTATTTCGTTAATTAAATAAATTACAGTTTAGGAGTTACAATTATAACAATATTAATATATGGTATGCCAGCCAATTACATGTTTTCGACCGTCGTAAAAAATCATTAGCCGTGCAATTAAGGAAATAAATGATTCCATAGGAGGCAAAAACATTTTTCTGGAAAATTGGTACAAAGTCACTACAATTAAATTTAGTACATTCATTGAAGCTGAAAATCAGCTTTAACCTCCGAATTCTTTGAAACTGCATGGATTTGCATGAAAATTTAGAATAAGGTTCATCTTAGGCTCAAGTTCAAAAGTGACATAAGCCCGATTGACGCTTTTTGTTTTTTAGGGATAAAAACTACCCCTAAGTGGAAAAAATTGAAAAAATTAAGTTTAAAGCATTTTATTGATAAAAATCTTGTTAATTCAAGCACAAAGATTAAATAATGTTCCATGTTCTCGAACATGTTTTATGATATATTTGATCTTTTCGACCCTTTATTTAACCCTTAAAAACCCCTATGCAAAAAATAATGATAAAAAATTACTTTTTAAAGATTTGAGATGAGTTACGTCATAGCTAATAAAATAATTTTTCACTTTCAACCCCTAAAAACCACCCCTGTATTGACAAAAATGATAAAAAGCTTGGAATGCTTTAACGGTGCAATTATTTAAAATAAAAATTTTGCTCCGAAAAATGTTATTGGTTTTTTACCATAACTCGGTTAATTTGAAGTTATAGTATCCTGTGAAAAAGCATTTTAAAGATAATTTCAAGAGGTGTAAGATCGTTTGCATATAAAACCTTTTTTCTACAAAACTGTTAAAAGTGGGCTTTTTGATTGTCATTTTTGATGTTAAAAATGTCATTTTTTGACACGCGTGTTATAAGTAAGTTACTTTTAACATTAGTGTTAAACAACACACAGTTTTGTAGAAAAAATAGTGTATGATATACGTGTTACAAGTGATTTTATTTTGTTCGTGAAGTTAAAAAACTCGCTACGCTCGTTTTTTAATCATCTTCACTCACAAAATAAAATCTTACTTTTAACACGTATATCATAAATAGCTATTTTAACACTAGTGTTAAAAGTAACTTACTTTTAACACGCGTGTCAAAAAATGACATTTTTAACATAAAAAATGACAATTAAAAAGCCCACTTTTAACACTAGTGTTAAAAGTAACTTACTTTTAACACGCGTGTCAAAAAATGACATTTTTAATATCAAAAATGACAATTAAAGAGCCCACTTTTAACAGTTTTGTAGAAAAAATAGTGTATGATATACCTGTTAAAAGTGATTTTATTTTGTTCGTGAAGTTAAAAAATAAAATCTTACTTTTAACACGTATATCATAAATAGCTATTAAGTCCTTCGTTTTTAAAGGGAAAGGATCGAAGGGCTCGAGACAGGTCGTTTTTTCACTAAAATTGATACTTCAAGCGGCGATATCTCCTTTATTTTTTATGCTATAAGAATAAAAAAAGCAAAATATTTGTTGAAAAAAAAACTACATTTTTGTTGTCTATCATTTTTTACATATCTTTCATAGTTTCAGAGTTATTATATAAATAAGGTATTTTTTTTTTTGAATAATGAAAAATACATTTTCAACTTTTACCGAACATTATTCAAAAAATACGCATTCTAAACCGGTCTAGCTTCAGGATCGTATGAAAAACACTAAAAAAAACTAATTGTAAAGAGTTTACGCTTAATTTTAACTCTAATGGAAATGGTGCAGCGTTTACTGCTCATTTTTCCTTAAAAAATATGAGCAGCCTATCTGTTTTTGACGATAACTCCTTCAATTTTGCTCTAATTAACTTTTATAAGTGCTCATTTTGAATGTCTTTTTGAGTACTACAAAAAACCACGGAGCGTTATACACGTAAAATTAATCCCTTTTTCGTTATTTGACGTTGAATACATCCATTTCACCTCAAAACAAGTCCCCTTCCACTAACCATATTTCGCTTTGTATAGGACGTACAACACTTTTTATGAAATGATTTTCTTTATTTATTTGTAAGCTACATTTTTGTTCATTACACTTTTTTTTAATAAAATGCATAGTTTTTGAGTTATTCGCGAAACATACTTTGAAAAAGTGATTTTTTTCACTCAAAATTCAAGTTTTCAATCGTGTCTAACTAAAAAACTATTGATTTCTTGAAAAAATTCTTCGAACATTTTTTGCTCAAAATTTGATTCTCTATCGATTTCCAGCGTTATTTTTGAAAAAAATTTCCACCCCCGAGAAGGGGTGTCAACCCCCAACAGGGTGGAAGCGTCAATCGGCGCTATGTCACTAATGTTCAATGACTTTTTCTCTAACTACCTGCCAAATTTCGAATCGGTCGGTTCAGTTTCAAAGAATTCGGAGGTGAAAAGCTTCAATGACTGTACTAATTAGACTTTGATGTAGCTCATTTGCGGTTATTCCTGAAAAATTTGTATTTTACTCCGCTCTCTTTTATAAACCACGTTTTTCTCTGCAGATTAAAGTTGGCGAAACTGTGTTGAACGGCCTCAACGCTTACGTGTACCACTTCGACCCAGAAGCCGACGACAACGGCTACGTCCACGAGAAAAACAAATGCTTCTGCAAAGGTCCCAGAAAATGCCTGCCGCCCGGCCTTCTGGACGTCCGCGGGTGCTACTACGGATTCCCGATAGCCCTCAGTTACCCCCACTTTTTGGACGGGGATGAATCCCTGACAGCCAAAGTGAACGGCTCCCAGCCTGACCCGGAAAAGCACAAGTCCTTCTTTATCATTCAACCTGTAAGTTAACAGAAAAAATGTCCTTTCTTTTTTTTAAGTTATGTTTTTTCAATAGGACTCAGGTCTTCCCCTTCAACTGGCCGCGCGGTTCCAAATCAACATGGCGCTGGGAAGTATAGGGAAGATGGCCAACTGTGAAAGATTTGAGGATATGATCCTGCCGTTGCTTTGGACAGAAATAGTAAGTAATAAGTAATGTTTTGTCTTTGAGGACATAAAATCAATTAAAAATACTCGATACTTGCGAAATGCTGAATGACAGTACCGACATTTTTCTTTTAACACACATTTGATGATATTTTTAATGTAATATTCTTGAGAATGTAAGAAAACCGCAAATATCTGAGAAAATCGAAACTTAACGCTTATAATATTGTTTTCCGAGCGTTTTCACATATTTTTATTTTCCGTATTTGTATGACCCAAAGGTATATTTATTAATTCTTTCAATTTTCCAGTTTGCAGTGTTGCAAAATTTATTGATGATAATAATTATCAATATTCCGGTCACCCAAGAGTTTTCAAATATTTCAGCAATAAAGACATTATTTTAATGTCGTGTTGCATTAGAAGATGGGTTAATCATTGCGGTGTTAAATTATTTAGATGGGACAATTTAGAATTTACTCAAGCACCGTTACAACACTCCAAGCAGTGCGTTAATGTACGAATAAACATGTGATAATTATTAATGTATAATATTTGACAAGAAATCGAGTTCATTGTTTCCAAATATCACTTTGCGTAAATGTTAATTTGCTTTTATCAGGCGTTGAACTTTCAAGGTTGTTCCGAAACCTTTGAAAGACAAATATTTAGCACCCGTCTGTATTCTTGTACTCAATTCTAGTAGTACAGTCCATTGAAGCTGAAAATCTGCTGTAACCTCCGAATTCTTTGAAACTGCATGGATTTGCATGAAAATTTAGAATAAGGCTCATCTTAGGCTCAAGTTCAAAAGTGACATAAGCCCGATTGACGCTTTTTGTTTTTTAGGGGTAAAAACTACCCCTAAGTGAAAAAAATTGAAAAAATTAAGTTTTAAGCATTTTATTGATAAAAATCTTGTTCAAGCACAAAGATTAAATAATGTTCCATGTTCTCGAACATGTTTTATGATATATTTGATCTTTTCGACCCTTTATTTAACCCTTAAAAACTACCCCTATGCAAAAAATAATGATAAAAAATTACTTTTTAAAGATTTGGAATGATTAAATCGTGCAATTATTTAAAATAAAAGTTACCTTATAGCTAATAAAAGAATTTTTCCCTTTCAACCCCTAAAAACCACCCCTGTATTGACAAAAATGATAAAAAATTACTTTTTAAAAGCTTGGAATGCTTTAACGGTGCAATTATTTAAAATAAAAATTCCCTCATTGCTTATGAAAGAATTTGTATCTCATAACACTTTTCAACCCTTATAAATCACCCCTGTGCTAAAAAAATGATAAAAAATTACGTTTTAAATCTTGGAATGCTATAATTGTGCAATAATTTAAAATAAAAATTCCCTTATATTGTTTATGAAAGAATATTTTACTTTTGCCATTTTCAACTCTTATAAACTACCCTTTTACCAATATTAATGTAAAATATTTTTATTATAATCGATTTTTAAATATAATCAATCATAAAAAAAATTGCTACGCTGCATATAAATAATCACACTAAATTTTTTTACTTATTTTATTTGTATAATATAATATATAATATATAAAAATGAGAAAGCCTATTTTGCTCCGAAAAAATGTCATTGGTTCTTTTACCATAACTCGGTTAATTTTGAAGCTATAGTATCCTACAAAAAAGCATTTTAAAGATAATTTCAAGAGCTGTAAGATCGTTTGCATATAAAACCTTTTAAGTCCTTCGTTTTTTAAAGGGAAAGGATCGAATGGCTCGAAACAGGTCGTTTTTTCACTAAAATGAATACTTCAAGCGGTGATATCTCCTTTATCTTTTATGCTATAGGAATAAAAAAAAGCAAAATATTTGTTGAAAAAAAGCTACATTTTTGTTGTACGTATATTTCATAGCTTCAGTGTTATTATATAAATAAGGCATTTTTTTTTAATAAAGAAAAATAATAAAAAAATACGCATTCTAAACCGATCTAACTTCAGGATCATATGAAAAACACTAAAACAAAACTAATTGTAAAGGGTCTATGATTAATTTTAATTCTGATTCAAATGGTACAGCGTTTACTGCTCATTTCTCCTTAAAAAATATGAGCAACCACTGTTTTTGACGATAACTCCTTCAATTTTGCTCTAATTAACTTTTATAAGTACTCAGTTTGAAGGTCTTTTTGAGTACTACAAAAAACTTCAGGACCGTTCTACACGTAAAATTAATCCTTTTTCCGTTATTTGACGTTGAATACATCGATTCAAGTATTCCCCCCAAAACAAGTCCCCTTCCACTAACCATATTTCGCTTTGTATAGGACGTACAACACTTTTTAAAAACGATTTTCTACATGTTTGTTCATTACACTTTTTTTAATAAAATGCGAAAAATACCTTGAAGTTTTTTTTTCACTCAAAATTCCAAGTTTTCAATCGGGAATAACTAAAAAACTTGATTTCTCGAACAAATTCTTCGAACATTTTTTGTTCAAAATTTGATTCTTTATCGATTTCCAGCGTTATTTTTGAAAAAAAATTTCCACCCCAACAGGGTGGAAGCACATGTTAGTAATATGTGGTAGAAGCGTCAATCGGCGTTATGTCACTAGTGATGGGCGGGTCGGGTCTGACCCGGATCAAAGATTCGGATCTTTACGATGATCTGACTGACCCGAATCCCGATATAAGTTCTGTCGGATCACTCGGGTCGCGGACCTCAGCTAATCTCGTATGGCCGTGCTGTGGCACTATGTAATGAAATTGATCGCAGAGGTTTACGGAGTACGCCGCCGCTCCCGAGACCCGTATGTAGTGATGGGAAGACTCGTGTATTTTAGTGACCCGGGTCATCTAGATCAATCATTATGATGACCCGTTCTGCCCATTCATGCGGCTGAGCCACCTGCAGTAGCGAGAGCGGTGACATCAGATGATTATGATATATTTTATTGGCTCGTTATTTCCATCAGCTGGTCGATTTTGTTTAGTAAAATAAAAACAGTTTTATTCTCATGTCAAGTGAATTATTATGTGAAAAATAATGTAGACTATAGGATTTAATAGATATTTAGATACCTATCTTTCTACTAACTTACCTTGCAACCTTTAAGGATATATTTTATTTATTTAAATCGTTTTTTTATTTTTTGATAAGTGGATATAATAGCTATTTATGATATAATTTTGGATATATATTTTTCCTTTCATACCACCACAGCAATGGATCTTCATGTCCAACAACAACAACAACAATTTTTATATATAGGTACTCTTTTTTAAATTCAAAAGGTTCAAGAAAACATAAAATATACCTATATAACGGCCTTATGCTTATCTATAATGTAATATACTATTATATTTGATTTGTGTCAATTGTGTCAAATAAAATTTTACTACTACTAAAGAACTGCTCTTTTATGCAAGTAACATCGAAAGGCAAACATCGATATTGGAATCGATGTTTCGAACTTTCTAACATCGATGACAATTGACAAACCATCGACAGAAAAACATCGATGCTTTCCAAACATCGGATATTATCGCCCAGCACTAATTCCCCAGATTCTAATACAGTCCCACAACCAGAACCCGGGATCCGGATCATAGATTCGGCTCATTGAAGAGACCCGGATCCGGTGACCCGAATCCTAAAAATGACCCGTTTTGCCCTTCACTATATGTCACTAATGTTCATTGTCCTTTTCTCTATCTGCCATCTGCCAAATTTCAAGTCGGTCGGTTTGGTTCAGTTTCAAAGAATTCGGAGGTGAAAAGCTTCAATGACTGTACCTACTATAGTCAATTGCTTGGCAGTTACCTCACTACCATTGATTTCTTAAGAAAAATATCCTGTAGAAGATAACTACGCCAAACTAGATTTCCACGACAAACTAAAAAAAATTAAACAGAATTGAATTGAGGTTATGTGCAACAATCTTGTAAGTATGAAATCAAAAGATAGATGGCTCCAGGGTATTCATTTTAAGTTTATACGAACTGAATTTTTTGTAAATCCCGCATGCGTCTAGGGTACCTCTCTTGATTCAAAAATATAAGCAATATTGCTATTACTTAATATTTTTGTCAACTATATGCTCATATGCAGACAGGATAAGTCCATAGAGAAAATTAGTATATAAAACTATTGGAGTTATTTTCAATTTATTATCAATAATTCAATTATTGGTTACATAACTAGGAAAATGAAATAATTGAAAAGAACTATATATAGAGCTGACTATCACAGCTGATTCCATGAAAATTTTTTTGGATAGAAACACTAACAATATCTTCCGAATTAATGTATGTACCATGCTTGAGTTGATTAAAGTTTATAATATCCGACATTTTTCTTTTGTTACAGAGCCTACAGGAACTCCCTCCTAGTTTAATTTTAAAATTCCGTATTTACCTCAACGTACTACCCATCGGGGAAAAGATGCTGACGTACGTCCTCCTGATAGGTGGTGGATTATTCTTGTTATACGCCCTGTATAAATTCCTCAAACTCAGATTGACAAAGACCAAATTTGAATCCCCATGGATCGAAGACGACTTAGTTTTTAACCTAGACAGAAAGCTAAGTAACTACATACCCGAGAAAAAGAACAGTTTAAAAAATGCTAGGGAAATGGAGGTGTTTCTAGATAACTTAACAACACCGTTAGCTCGAGATATTCACGAAACCGTGTAATCAGAATGCACTTTTACTCGAATTCTGAAAACTAGTACAAATAATTTATACGAATTAAATTTGCTCACTAATACAATTTCCTATAAAAATTGAAACACAAATCTTTGGTTCCGCCAAAAATTTTATTTGAAAAAATTTTCTGACACTTTAATCTTGCCTAAAGAAAGTGTATATTTTCTTATTAGCTTTATTTATTCCCTTGACTGTTGAAATGACATTTTATTTATTAAGGATTGGAGGTGTTGTCAAGTACACCTGGGGGATTAGGAATGTGTGGATTTCCTGTAAAAAGTGTGACCAGAATTTGCGGTGTAAAATTTAGCCACACTTTGTAACGTCTCTTGTGATATTTCAGGCTACATAACACGTTTTAGTGTTTGATATTTTTATGAAAATAGTTAGCGTAATTATCGAAAGTGTGATATCGTAGGGTAGAACTATTTTAGATTATTTTTTTAGATAAATACTTGGTATCAGAGTTTCCTATGTATGGCGGGTGTTTTACATTTAGAAATATTAGATTAAATGCCATTTTTTTTATATATAATATGAAGAATAGTGCCCACCTTAAGAGGGCTCTTTGGCAAATAGGTAAACAGTAACACATTTTTATAGATTTTATTACATAGTTTGTCTAAATATGAATCAATGCACAAATAATACACTTTCCTCCATTCTAACGCAGATTTTTTTTAGAATGGAGTTAGTTTGAAACTCATATTACTTTTTGTTGTAAAGAAATTTGTAATTTGCCACTTCTGAATGTAACAGCATCGTAAATTACAAATGGGGGAAAGTCTATTATTTGTGCATCAATTCATATTTAGACAAACTGTGTAATAAAATCTATAAAATGTATTGCTGGTTGCCTATTTGCTACAGAGCCGTCTTAAGCAGTTTGGTAGTACGCCTAGAGAAAAAAATATATTTTTTAATAAAACAATACTGTCTTGTAAAACAAATCGCAGAACTTCAATTAATTTGTAAATATTGTGAAGATATGCCACATTTCTTATGTTTGCTCAAAGCTAGTAGTATTTTTGTATGATTCACTATTAAAAACATGNAATAGTGATGCAATAAATAATTAATGTAATTTTTTGGCGCGGACAATACAGACAATTTTCATAAAGGTATGTTATTATTTAATAAAACAATACTGTCTTGTAAAACAAATCGTAGAAATTTAATTAATTTGTAAATATTGTGAAGATATGCCACATTTCTTATGTTTGCTCAAAGCTAGTAGTATTTTTGTATGATTCACTATTAAAAACATGCCGTAACACTGAGGTAGGCATAAGTTTGAAATTAAAAATGAGGCAATGTCTTAAAATATTGGGTGTACGTAGCTATAACCAAAAAAAAAAAAAATTGTAAGATGATTTTTATATGTTAAAAGCGATGTCACAATTGTTTGCAACTTAACGAAAAATATGTAAAGGGTATTTCGGGTACTATTATGGGTTACTACTAACAAGGTAACATATAAAAATTACCAATATTTCTCCGATATTTATTTATTATATTTATCGTATTTGCATAAATGAATAAGATCTGTGTTTTTAGTCGTTACTTAAAATAGTTTGAGTCGAACCTAGAAAAAGTAATTTTAACAGTATTTTAATACTTACCCTAGTAAGTCATTTATGCAGTATTGGGTAATTGATATAATAATTAAGTATTAGATCTGTTCCGACTAGAAGCATAAACTTTTTTAGGATCAACGTAATCATAATTGCTTTATTGGTTAATGGTTGACCAGTGCTTTTAGTCGTCTTAGATATATTAAATAAATACTCATATTTTACTAACTTTTTATTGGAAATCTGTACCTAGTATTAATATTAGAATACAACTAGTAATTTGATTTTTACTGTGTTGAATAAAATTATTTTAAAATGTTAAAAAATCTTTTAATTTCATTTACACTAATTCAATTTATAGTTGTTACGATTTCAGTTGGAACCTTGAATCTTAAAGCACAGGATCGTCTGCATTTGTCTTGAAATTTCTTCCTATGCTTTAGCCACGATCTGTCTCGTAATTTAAATCAAATCTAATCCGCCTGATGTAGAATCGACGGCGGCACGCTGGTCTTTAAAGCAAACCTGTATTGGTCCACTAGGTCATAAATAATTTTTTGTATGGTATTCTGTGGTTTGGTGTCGAGCGTGTTCACTAGGCTATGCCAATGCAGTGCTTGGCGTGGTACGTTGTTGGTATAATACGTTGAGGGTTGCTTTCGCTGTACAGCAAAAATAAACCGCTCTCTGAAGGGTACAAATAAAGTATTTTTATTGAAAACTAAGCTTGTGAAATAAAACGTGTTGTTGGTTCGAACGTTTGCTGGAGAGTCGTCTTGGCGTGGAGTCGCTCGCAGAAGTACCTGGTCCTTGGCGCCAATCTGCCGGGGTCGTCTTCCAGGAACCCTGGTGCTTCCGGGCGGCGTCAGGCTGGCACTCTTGACGCAACACTCAAAATGGGTCACTTGCGAATATGTGTTGGGTACACAACGTATTATTGTTTATTGGTTGATATTATTATTTGTTCATATCGTAACCAGTAAAAGGTAAGTTATTAAAATAAATATTATACAGGGTGATTCAGAACTTATCCAACAAAAAATTTGGATGTACAAGGAACTCTTACGAATATAATTTTGAAAGAACAAATCAAAACGGGCAGTTCGAAAATGATTTAAAAATACACTTCTGCACGGCACTGAAAACTGGTCCACTGTAAAACCTGAGCTCGCACAATGCGACCGGCATGGCGGCAAAGTGTGATAAAAACGGACAAAAACTTGAAAGAATTTCGTATGGAAAAAAATAAATAGAATTTTATAGCACCTATTTTACTGTTATCAGCAAATTCAACTGCTTTTATTAATTAATAAAATTAAATTGTGGTTTTAAATAATAAAATAATTTGACATACCTGATGTTACAACTGTTCAAAATTTTGTCCACCAACGTGTAAACACATTTGGGTCCGTCTTACTCAGTTTCTACAAAATAACACAAATATTGTCTTGCCTCACCATAACACAAATGCTTCACCATAATACAAATGTTGTCTTGCTCACCATAAATTAGAACGATATCCATCAACTCCGAGTTGCTATACACGCAAGCCATTTTTGACACTAACTACTAAAAAACTATTGTAAACACTATGGCAACGACTGAAAAATCGGATTTCAGTATTCGGAGTCGCTGAGACCACGTGGCTCTCCACGCGTATTGCGAATGACGCTAGAGAATTATGTAATAGTTGAAAGTACTATGACTTCAATAATTTTTTTCTCGGAAACTATAAGGATTTTACAAAAATTTTTTTACGATATTGACTCCATTTCTCATGCCGCATCTATTCCCAAATTTTTTTGGAAAAGTTGTGAATCACCCTGTATGTAATTATCTAGTAATTTAGCATGGAGACCCTTTGGAATGGAGGATAACGAAATAACCTGGGAAAATCCCCAAATAGTCGAACAGGTTTTTGTTGAAAGCGTCGAAACCAACTCAGAGTTTAAAAACAAAGATTTACACGTACAAACTGAATGTATTATTTTAAATATATATGAACGTTTCAAAAGAAAAAATAATGAACAATGTGATAAAGAAATTAGGAAACGGATTAGCGAATTAATTAAGATATCAAAATCAGCAATTTATCGCGTAATTAAAGAAGAAGTTATTGATCACGGTTCAAAGAGGAAACGGAAAAATATAAAATTAAAGAATATTGACAATTTTACCAGAGATGGAATACAGCGCACAATTTATAATATGTATAAAAAAAATAAAGTTCCTATTTTAAACATGATTCGAGACAAATTTAATAAGAAATCTATACCAACAATTTACAAATAGCAAAATTTTTCTGTATGCCTATAGATTCTGTAGAATTTTACACAAATATTATGTCAAAGTTTTAAGGGAAATGTTCGACATTATTTTTACATAAATGTGTCCTGCAGCTTACTCAAACTACTCAAAAACATATTTATTATTATCTGCATTCGACATCCGACGTAGAAAGACATTGGCGAACAATTTCGAGGTATGGGCCCGCCGCGGTAAATTGTTACAGTAGTTCCGATAACAGAACTTTATTGGCTTATTCTCTTTTTGGAATTTTATCTCAACAAATATAGTACGCATTGTGCTTTCTTCTTCTAAGGCCCTCGGGAAATCCAAATGAGTCCTAGGTTGACATCCTCGGCCTTAGAAGCCCAACGTGGGGCCTACAGTAAATCTCCCGCGGGGCTTCCGCTTTTATACGTTTGGCAAAATTGACTTTTTTTAAATTACTGAAAATATCTATTAATAAAACCCAAGATTTGCTTTACTAAGTCTCTTTAATAAATTAATATATTTAACAAAATTGCTATACAAAATAGATACAAAATATGTGTGACGAAATGATTTCTAACATTACAATATATAAACCCTAATAAAATCAGTGAGTCAGTGTTTAACATATGTTTTTTAAGTATTATTAGATGAATAAGTGTTTATTTTCTTACAATTAACTAATGTTCCGTGTAAGTTGCTCGTGGAAAATACGTATTTTTTGCCTGCTGTCTGAATAAATATATTCATATAGTTAAACTTAATTGCATAATTTAAATATGTTAGAACAATATCACATAACATTATAGATTTTTAAAATCAATAAACACACCTACTGCTGGTTTTGATAGTCCTGCTATCTCCCAAACTGCGTTTTTTCCATGTCTTCGATCACTTGCAGCAGCCTTTGTTTAGTTTTTTTATTGTTTTGACAAGCACAACTGACCAAACCGAACAGGTGTTTCGATGAATATTCCTATTTAAAAACACAATTTTTTCACGTTTATCAAACTATAAAAGAACATGTACTTACTTTGTGCTCCCTGATCCACTTTTCTAATTCTGCTTCTGGCAGATAGTAGGCCTTTACATAGTTTTCAACGTATTCCTTATGTGGCACAGGTTTCAAAGACGAGATTTTTTCAAACTTGGACAAAAACTGAGTAAAATCTAATTGCATGAGAGCTCTTCCTCCATTTGAGCATTTCTTTGCTTCAGAAAATCTAGAATAGCACAAGTAGATTGATCCATTTTTTATCAGTAAAAAACAATAATTATAATTATATTTACCCCTGAACAAGAGTATGAGTTATAATATGTGCAATGTTCTCCCACAAGTTCTTATGAACTTCTTGAGAAATTGGAACCTTAGTCGAAACTTCCTCCAAGCGTAGAGTAAAAATTTGCACTTCCTTAAAGAAAAATTAAAAATAATTTTGCTAATTCTAGTAATCGCCCTCTTACCCTCAAAATAATGTCAATGTAGGAGTTGTGTTGAGACATAACATCTTTTACTTCCCAATTTATCTTTAACATTGAAATTAAAATCTGTCTCAGATCGAAAGCCTGTGCAACGACCGACATGTATACTGGGTACCTCATTCCAATTGCACTGGCGATATTCTAAAAATAATTTAACGTTATTTTTTTTATAGAGATAGCTCAAAATTAATACAATGCTAAATATCCGCCCGCAAAATTTAAATTTGACTGCATAGATATCCGCTTCGTGTATAAAAGTGGTGGTCTACTTTACCGACCAAGAAAAATATGACATTCTCTAATTCCTTTCTAACCTCAATTTGAAATAACCTGTCGCGTGTACGTCAACAAACAAACCCTTCCGAACCTTAATATGAAAAATACGGAAACGAGTGATAAAATTGAAATAGGAGATTACTTAGTAGTGCAAAGACAGGGCTACACCAAACTGCACAAGTTAAAAAAACATGGGAATCTACTTCTGGGAAGTTTTACTATAGAAATGGACAATGTAATCGGTGAAAAATACTACGACACTTTTCAAATGAAAAACATGCTGGGCAACAAGAAATTTTATATACTGGAAAAAGTCGACGAGATTAACACAGCTACAGGATCAGTAAATATTGAAAAATCTGGTGCGGATAATCGTCACATCCCGAATAATGCAGATTCTCAGGGCCTAACGAAAGACGACATCGACAAGCTTAAAAATGCGGAACTTAGCTCTAACAACATAGTGGAACAGTTGATTAGTAATTCCAAGACTTTTAACATGAAAACCGAATACAGTCAGGAGAAATACATCAAAAAGAAAGAGAAAAAATACTTCGAATACATTCAAATTCGTAAACCTACGATAAGATTATTGTCGCAAATGTTTTATAGACAAGATCCTACGAAAACCTTGGGAATAAGAATGGACGATTTGTCACAGATCTTATCATATGCCAATATTCATTCAGAAGGTACATACATATTTTCTTTGATTCTTAGCATAAATAAATTTATTCTTTTTAGGTAACCATTTACTTTATGATAGCGGGACCTCCGGTTTAATGCCCGCAGCAATCATGAATGCTATAGGAAACGATACCACCGGTTCACTTATTCACATGCATCCGGGTAACGAATGTCAAAAAAATGGATTTGTCGCAATGCAATACCCTCGGGAACAAATCGACAGGTGTATAAACGTGAATCTGTATTCAGTATTAAGGTGTTTCTATCAAAATAAAGCTGCATATAGTGAAAAAAATAAGAACGCAGTTGAAGAAAATCCCAAGCTTGAAGCTAATACCAGCGAAACTAATATCGAAGAGAAATCTTGCACCGAAACTGACACGAATGAAGACACCACTGAACCTTCTGCAAAAAAACCTCGACTCGAAGAAGGAACAAGCCAGAAGAGACAATGGGAGTTAGAGAATGAAAAGGCGTGTAGGATATTGGAAAGCAAAGTAGATTCTCTGATAGTGACTGCAAAGGAGCACCCTGTAAATATCGTGAAAGAACTTTTGCAGTTCTTGAAAGGCGGCAGAAGCTTTGTCGTGTTTAGTTTACTGAAAGAACCTCTACAGGATTTATATGGATACCTAAAAAGCCGAGTGGACATAATTTCAATCCGTATATCCAATAATTTCATGAGGAATTACCAGGTGTTGCCGGATAGGACTCATCCCGAAGTGAATATGAATACGGGGGGATATATTTTAACGGGTTTTAAGCTGAGTTGTTGATAGAAGTGTTTTTATTCATGTAATTGTGGTGAACATAATTTCAAATTAACTGAATTTTTTTCGGTTACTGGTTATTGTTAATCCGAATATTATTACAAGTAATTTTTTATGCATAATTTTCACAAAAACTGTGGAGTTCGATTATAACAAATCATGGCGTACTAAATGGATAATATAATAAGTAAACTTTTATATATACATGGTGTTTAGAATATACTTGAGGAAACCGAAGCAGAGGATTCTTCAGTCAATTTTAGAGGATGTGTTTAGTGAAAAAAAAAAAGAAAAATGACAGAAACCTACTACGATAATTTTGTATTGTTCGGAGAATCATAGGATTGAGATGTAACTTATATCCATTAAATTTTTTTGTACGGAAACTAAGATATTTCGGAATTTGTGTAGAAACAAAAACGGTTTGGAACAGGGCTATCCAAATCTATTATTTTTTCTTAAAAAATTTTACTCCTTACAGTGAATAGAAATTGTAGTTTTTAATTTGTGCCGGTTTTGAAAAAAAGCCATGGAAGCTTGATTACAACACCTACATTTAAAGCACTGATTTCTTAAGGGGGGCTAGAATAAAAAAAATTCACGTCCTCTCTAAGATTCGCTGAAGAATCTGTTGTTTCATTTTCTTCAACTATTTTCCAAACACCCTGTATATGAAGCCAAACTTAAGGGTAGAGATACGTCACAATATGTGCGGACAGTATTAAAAACGGATAATGAGGAAACTCCACTGTATTAATATTAATCGTATTTATATAATTTTTGCTAAAATATTAACTTGTTAACTATTGAAATAGATCTTTTATTTACACAGGTACACTTACATTTTTTATACAGGGTGTAACTCTGAACGGAGGTCATATTTAGACGGAGACTACCTTTAACCTTTAGAAACCAATATAAAGAGTGACCACAAAAATCCTGTGATTTTCGCCCGTTTTTTCACAATGCGCAGAAAATTTAAAAAAATACATAAACCTATGTTTTGGTCGCAAATTACTTGTAAAAAACTGAAATGAGCATAGCATTTAGTATTTTGAAAATTTTAAAAATCAGCCCTGCTTAGGTGTTGAAAAAATGCCAAAAATGAAGAATTTGAATATTATTATTATATTACCAATTGATATAAAAACCATTAGCAATTTTTCTATCAAATGATTCTTGATACAAAGAAAGATTTATTCTAATAAAAAAATCAAATTTTTAAAAATGTTTGACAATTTTTTTAAATAGTTGGGTTAAAAAGGTAACAATGCATGCACATACCATCGAATTTGGACTTGCCCAGTGACGGCATAGACGAGAGTTTAAGTGTAGTTTACAAAACGGATATAATTCGACTTTTTGATTTAAAAGAATTTATTTCAGAGCAGTATTTTGCAGAAGGCGTTATTATTGAAAAGTGACCCTCACTATACAGTTACACCCTGTGTAAACCGGCAAACATAACGTGATAAAAAAAAATAGTGATACAATAAATAATTAATGTAATTTTTTGGCGCGGACTAAAAAAAAAATAGTGATGCAATAAATAATTAATGTAATTTTTTGGCGCGGACTAAAAAAAAAATAGTGATGCAATAAATAATTAATGTAATTTTTTGGCGCGGACAATACAGACAATTTTCATAAAGGTATGTTATTATTAAAAATACTTTTAAAAAAATCGAACAAAGTACTTAATGCATATGGGGCATTCCACGCCAAATCGACCACTTTTTACCCTGACCCCTTTCGACTTGGCTGAAACTTTTTTATTGTTTTTTACCTCATTGAAAATTTTTTCACCTAACTCAAAAAAAATTTTTAAACCGTTTTTTTTTTTCAAAATTTTTGTTTTTAAATGTACTTTTTGAAAAAAATTGATCAAAATTATCTGCACCTATTTTACCCGTTTTTTTCATTTTTTATAAATCCTCAAATTTTTTCAGTGGTGTTTTTTCGTTTTCTATTTTCTTTTTTATTGATTGAAAACAATTTTTTTTTCAAATTTAGCTTATTTCACACCATTTTGAAAATTTTTAAAAATGTATTCAATGTAATCTCAAAATTGAAAAAAAATATATGAAAGAAATAATTGGGTGGTAAACATGGAAAAAATTTCATTTTTTTAAATAAGAAAAAATTAGAAGATTGTTTTGAATAATTTTTTTGTATTTTTTTCGAAAAATACATGCAAAAGAAAATGAAAAAAAAAAGTTTAAAAAAAGACGCAACTCAAATAAATCATTTTGAAACCATCCTCTTTTTACTCTTTAAAAAAAATTGTTATCAATCGCTGCATAGAACAAATTTTTTCCATTTTTGGGATTCCATATACATTTCAAAAATTTTCAAAATGGTGTGAAATAAGCAAAATTTGCAAAAAAAAATTTTTTCAATAAAATAGGAAACGAAAAAACCACTGAAAAAATTTAGGATTTATAAGAAAAAAAAATTTCAAAAATGGTAATCGAGAAATTTTCGTTTTTTTTCGAAAATTGAAAAAAAAAATTCTCAGGTTTTCAATGGGGTAGAAAACAATAAAAAAAGTTTCAGCCAAATCGAAAGAAGTCAGGGTTAAAAGTGGTCGATTTGGCATGGAATGCCCCATATACAGGGTGTCCCACCAGGAACTGTGTCGGTCGATATCTAGGAAAAAAGCAGCAGATTCTCCACATGTTCTAGAAATTACTTTGTCACATTTTCTTAAATTTTTAATATAAAACAAATTAAAGTAATCCTAATTAGTATAATTTAAATGATCCCCAGGCAATTTTTAAATTTTTGGCAAAAACTATTCAAACAACAATAATTTGACAACTAACTTGACAAATATCAAGTTATTTCAATTGTTTTTGGAGTGTTTCTGGTCATAGCCAATTTGACAACAGGTCTGATACGAAAAAAACTGTCCAAAAAATAGAAAATTGCAAGTATCTCTAAAAGTAGTAACGGCAACCCTAACAATGCTTATATGGCCTGAGAAGAAATTTTAATCTGCTTACGACAGAGTAAAAAAATACAGGGTGTTCTGTTTAAGTTAATAATGTTATAGCTGTTATTGCCATGTTGCCAAATTTTCAAATTTTTCGGAGCAGTACTTTCCTAGATATCGATCTATGCAGTTCCCGGTGGGACACCCTGTATAATAATAATCTGTTACTGCTGCTCCATCTTCCACATATACAACTAACTTTTAAACAAACCTTACGAAGATGGGAATATGTATATTACACATCTACGTGATATGCCTTCAACTTACCTGTACAAAAAATTGCTGCAGCATTATTTTGTTGGTTTGCGGAACCAGATATTCCAAATACTCCTGCAAAAATTCGTACTGCTTGGACAAAAATATCAGACTCTCCATTCCTACTATCCTCTCCGCTAAACCGTGCAATTTTTCCGGTTTCTGCAAATCCACCATAGAGGACAAAGTGGGTTTCAATATCTTCCCGTCATGGACAATATCCATTTCTTCTTGAGGAATGCTCTCCAAAATTAAATTGTCGGATATTTTCTTAAGAGTAATGTTCAACTCTTTCGTGTAAAGAGAGCTACTAGAGACGGTCTGAAAATAATTAACGTTCCTTACAGTCAAATCGTCTTAAGAAATAAGTTAAAAAATCACCCATGTTTGTACAACGTGCCTAATTAACACCCTGTATGTTACAACGCAGTTTCTACTTACCAAGTCTTGTGCAAAAAACAAATGAACCGAGTAGAGATAATAATCGAACAACTGATTCATACACGATATTATCTGGTAGGCTATGGGCTTGAGAAGCCTAGACATCTGAATATACTTCCCGATCTGTCTCAAAATGGATAACGTGGTGTTCGTTAGAATAGGAGCCTTGTGATGGTGCTTCTCTTTCTTGTCTTTATTGATGAAGGATCTGAAAACGTTAACAAACTTTTACAATAAATTCAAATAGATACAACAAGACTCACTTGTTTGAGTTATTTGTGTCGTCGGCGTACTCGTCCACATAATCCTTCCTAAGTTCTTCCGATTCTTCCTCGCTGTCCTCGGAAAAATAGCCCGAGGCTTCGTTTTCCGACGCCAAAATATCCTCCTCGATGACAGTATCGTCCAGACCGCTGTCGAAAGGCGTGCCATGTTCAGCGTAGCGAATAAAGTAATTACCGATGATGCTGCTGCCGTCCTGGGAGTGACTCGAGGAACAACATTCGGTGGAGTTCGTGGAGTAATTCGGTAGGGTGGGGCTGACTTGCGGGTTTAGTTTGAAATTCTTTAGGGACGAACGGAACGGTTTGAATTCCTGAAACAAACGGAGGTGGTCAAAATAACTACAAAATAATTCGTTGTGAAACTCCTACTTGCAACTGCAGAATATCAAAGGAGGGCTTGACCGGGCAAATTTCCCACATTTCGTTCTCTAAAAATATCTTAAGCTCGTCCATTCTTTGGGCGTGATAGTTTTTGAAATAGTTTACGCTTTGTTTTCTTATGGATTCCTGTAGGTCTTCGGATTTGCTTGAACAAAATTCCTCCCCCACTTGAATCAACCTGAAATGTTTCGTCATCATACAGGATGTCCCAATATCTGTCAAAAGTTGCTAGAAGGTATCAAAGTTGGCAAAAATTTAAATTTTTTTTAAAGATGGCAGTCACATCAAAAATTACCAAAATTAACACTGTCGGTGACCAGTCACATTAAAAAATGACCACTGAATACTTAAAATGACCAATTTTTCCAAATACTTCAATAATTCAATTAAAAATGAATGTTTATAATTGTCATCAATTATTATTTTTTCTTTTTAAATATACAATTTCATGTGGTTACTTTAAAATTTTTCAAATTAGCGATAAATGATATGCGCAATGCAATTTTTGTAAAACCCAGAATACAGAATATGCGAATGGGAAACCACAAGTCAAAAGAGTGACCGCAAAAATCCTGTGATTTTCACCCGTTTTTTCACAATCCGCAGAGAATTTAAACAAATACATAAAAATATGTTATTGGTCGCAAATTACTTGTCGTAAAAAACTGAAATGAGCATAGCTTTTAATATTTTGAAAATTTTAAAAATCACCCCTACTTAGGGGTCGAAAAAATGCCAAAAATTAAGAATTTGAATATTACCAATTGATATAAAAACTATTAGCATGTGAATTATCTTAATATATATTTTTTTTGGAATTTTTACAATTATTTCTGATATTCTCTATTTTTGGAGATGATTCGACCCCCTGAGTGAGCTTATGGGTGGATTTTCTAATTCAACATGATTATTTCAGTCATGAGAATAAGTCTTTTTGTGTCAAGAATCATTCGATAGAAAAATTCACATGCTAATAGTTTTTATATTTATTGGTAATATTCCATTCTTCATTTTAGGCGTCTTTCAACTCCTAAATAGGGGTGATTTTTGAAAATTATCAAAAAACTAAAAGCTATGCTCATCTTAATTTTTTATGACAAGTTATTTGAGACCAAAAACATATTTTTATCTATTTTCTTTAGTTCTCTGTGAATTGTGAAAAAACAGGCGATTTTTGCGGTCGCTCTTTGTACACGAAAATGGCCAACTTGAAGATTTTGCGATACTTATTACATGAATATTGATACAGCCTGTATCTAAACTTATAAATTATATTTTACGATTCTTTTTGCATCACGTCATATTTTTTGGAGATATTTCCTCTTTAAATATTATCCTCAATCAGATAATAAAATTAAAAAACATGATTGTTTTTTTATAACATGACAGATTTATTATAGAGATAATAACTGTTATTTCTGTTACTGATTTTTAAAGTATTGATTTATTTAATACAGCAAATCAGAGAATTATTAGAATAAGTGATATACATTCTGTCAAAAAAGTATCCGAAATTTGTCAATAAAAATTAATCATCAAAATTTATTTTGTGTCCTTCAAAATAGACTCCATTTGAAGCAATACACTTTTTCCAACGAACAACCCAGTCATCAAAGCACTTTTTGAACCCATATTCCACGATTTTTATTTTAAGGCTTTTATTGACTCGAAACATGTTCCACGATGTGATAATTTGAGTTTGGGAAGGAGGAAAAAGTCAGCAGGGTCCATATCCGGCAAATATGTTGGCTGCTCGATTCGTTGAGTTTTTGGTTATAAATTAATTCACAATTATCGTTTTATGTGATGGTGCATTATCGTTGTGCAAAATCCAAGAATTGTGCTTCCCTAAACCTTGTCTTTTATGGCAGATACTCGCTCAAAAGCCTCTTAACACCCAGATACTATTCTTCGTTGACTGTTTCTCCATCCGGACGGAATTCTGTGGACAACACCAGGATAGTTGAAGAAAACAGCCAACGTGCCTTTGGTTTCTGATCAACTTGTCTCGTCACCGGTTATGATGAGCATGAACATAGAGTCCAAATTAGCTTGTTCGAGCATGTCTTCAGTAACATGTTTACGATGCTCTTCTTGAAGAAAATTTAGCTCTTTTTTTGAGATATGTTTAATTCATGTGCCAGCTCTCTCAAACTATAACAAAGGTTAGCAAGCACTATTTCCTTCACTTTTTCGATGTTTTATTCAGTTGAAAACGTTGAAGGATGACCAGAACAAATCATCAAACGCTTGAGTTTTCGATAAAACCGAATGACCCTACGTTTTTCCCATTTTGAATGATTCAGCGCAAGAAATTCCGTTAGTAGCATAAAATTTTAAACAGATTCATTGTTCAATAAAATTATTCATAGTAAAAATCGCAGAACACGCTTTAAATGAACTAACAAAATTAACAGCCATAATCAAACTACTTGACAGATCGCGCTCCAACTTCGCGCCAGAATAGAGTATAGCACTACCAACCAAAAAAGAAATTTAAAACTATTTTGCACGAAATTTTTAATAGACAAATTCGGGGCACTTTTTTGACACAATATACAGAATGTTCCACTGGGAACTGCGTCGATTGATATCTAGGAAAGTATTGCTCCGGAAAATTTGAAAATTTGGCAACATGGCAATGTCCCTGGGGCGTCAGAATATATTAAATTTTCATTCAAACCAACATAAAGCAGTGAAAATCCATTTTATATAAAAATCTCACCTGTGAACCACTCGGAGCACCTGCACGAACTGATCGAATTTGTAGCTGGCCAAATCGGCATTTAATAACAAACTAGACACTTTCCTTTGCACGTCGTCCCATATTTTTAACAAATAATGCTCCAACTTCTGCCTGCTCATCGTATTTTCAACATCAAGATTAGACGATTCGTTCTGAGGATCCGTCTCGCAATTATTATGCCACCTCACCAATTTATGGTAACTCATTACGATTTTAAACAACACCTTACAAATGTGCACCAGACATGGTATGAAAACGTCTTGAGCTATCGACTGCAAGGAAAGAATTAAATTACTAGAGTTTATGTTCACGAAATAGAAAAACAAATACCTGGCAGAGTGTTTTGTATGGATTTTTGCCACTGTTTTCCGTCGAATCCAGTATTTCTGCCGACGTCACGTAAGAATGTACAACGTTAAAAGACGAATTATAGATAGCCGTTATATAATGAACGTGTAAATTGTCGATCATCGACACCTGAGATTTCTCCAAGAGATTGTAGGCCTTCTGCAACTTGCAGTACCTCTCGCCATCAAAATGATAACACATCTGGAAATTACAATTAAAAAATGCACATAAAACACCATTTTGCCATGATTCTACCTGTGACAAAATTCTGTCTAGTTGAGAGTCTGTGTTTTCTAAAGTTTCCTGTAGTTTATATGTTAAGGCCGCTACACAACTAAAATGTCTGTACTTAATGGCAGTTTTCTGGCACCTCTTCAATTCCATAATAGCACCCGCGTAGTCTTCATCGTTCAACAACTGGTGGCATCTCTTATCAAAACTATGCTGAAAGAATCACAATAGAAACCAAATAATGATCAAAAAAGGTACTAAAAATCTTGCTGTTTTGATTGCAAAAAATATAATACACTTACTAAATTTTTAATCATATTTAAATTATTCAACAGATTTTGGGCCAGTTTTCTCTTCCTGTAATTAGCTAATATCCCTAAACTGGCACTGAACTGTTTCCCGGCAACTTTCAACTCTTTCCTGCTGGACCTACACAACTCAAGGGTATTTTTAACTTGTTCTAAAATTTCCGCAATCTTCTCAAATTCAGAATTGCAACCATTTTGGTGTTCCAAAATTAACTGCAGCACTTTCTTAGACACAACTTGGTGTTGCTGTTTTAAATTTTTGAAGTCTCTTTGGATCTGATCGCAATCTAAGACTTCTGGCAATTTCTAAAAATTGATATCTTCAAAATAGGGTGGTGCTTTTTGTGCAATATTACCTCTAACTCGAATCTGCATATATCAAATTCTTCTTTCATGGAAAAATATGCCGCCTCGATACTTTCCAATATGTCTTGATCGGCAGGCCTGTTGACATCGGTTACTGTTTTGCTGTTTATCGATAAAGTTGGGACTTGCGAAAAATGATAATTTGTATCATCAAATCCCATTGACGGTATCTTAGGGGGCTAAAATAGTATTTATTTTTAAAAAGAATAACAATAATACTATCATAAATGTTTTAGATTAAATATATAAATAAATATTTAACCTAATTTAAAAGTTCATCCTACCTGTTTATTTATAAGCCCCAAGATTTTTTGTTTAATTTCATCCATTTTATTGGCCACTATTAAGACAATGTTTAAAGAGCTTAAATTAAATAAACATGTTTAATATTTATTTTTATTTACACAAGAAATAACATTATACACTTCTTAAGTAAACGTCAGTCATGTCGATGACAGCTGACAGTTGAATCGGCTAAATAAGGTTAAACTAGGCAATTTTTTGTCGTTGGTATCGGTAATGTTGAACAATAATGAGTGTGTGAACTGATATTAAAATGTGTGTTGATTTTAAATATTTCAAATGAATTAAAACTTCTAAATAACCAATGTTTAAGGGCAACTAACAACATGTATGTATATATCGCATAATAGTTAGTTTAGTGTTTCTTATGTCTTGTACCAGATAAACCAAATGATATAAAATGGCCTAGAAAAAGCTGCTAAGTGAGACGTGTCGGTAGTGTCGATAGATGTCGCAGTTGTCGATCAGTTGAATGAAGGAAGCTTAGTAAAATGGCCGACCAGGATCGATAAAAGTTGTGATGTGTTTTCAGTCAAATACTGTAATTTTAAAAACAAAATAAATGTTGAAAAACCTATGAATTGCTAGTGTATATAGTGTATTTGTGTTTCAAAATAAATTCGTGACTTTTATTTCCGGTTAGTGTGCTTTAAACCCAGAAAGAAACTTTTATTATGTAGCATTTGTTTTAGTAAGGTAAGTGCAAATTTGATGAAAGAATTTAGGCGTTTTCTTTCTTTTATCACGTAAAAAATTCAATAGTAAAATTCTTACGTTAAACCTTTCACGTAATGTTCAAATATATGGTATACTAATTAGGCAGATTGACATGTTTAATTGAAATGTACACAAGTTTAGCGGTAGTGGGGGGTGAGAGTTAATTTGACAAATTGTTTATGACCATTTAACCATCCACCTTTCCTTTGTCGTTTGTGTTTATTTGGCAATAACTGGATGTTTCCTCCAGCAACTCGTAATCGGTGCTTTTCCTTCTGTAATTAATTTTACGCGTCGCTAGGCTTTGTTTCGGAGAAAAAGGTGTTAACTGGACAACTCTACGAATTTTATAGAATTGACCATGTACCGTTCGTTAATATTTTACGATGATTTTAATAGTCCTCAAACATCTAAATGAGCAATTAAAATAAAATTAGCTTCGTCTAACGACTATCATTTGCTGAAATGTATTAAAATAGAGTCGTCGGTTGCAGAATGCCCAGCAGATTTATAACCTTTGTAGAAAAAACATGTAGTTTTTTTAATTATAAGAGGCAGGTAATTAATAAGCGCTGGTTAGCAATAAATTATGGCCGTCCATTTACATAATAACACACGGAAGTGTTGATAAAATACTCGCACATACTTACATGTTTATTTAAAAGATGGCCTTTTTATTGCTCAACTATTTTGTGCTTATTAATTTTTTGTATTGATTCTAGAATCCTGCCAAATTAATAACTTTTATTATAATGTTACGTTCGACAAGTCTTAAAATTAATATTTACTCTCTAAATAAGTTTTCTGGTTAATAACATACATTTTTATGTGAATATTTGCAAGTCACAAGACGAACCTAGTGGAACGAATTTTCAATTAAGTAAAATTGACAGTGCCGACGTTATTCCTAAGATGTGTAATTACTGTGTTTCTTATGTCGCCGCCCACATGCTGTACTTTTATTGCACGGTAGAAAACAAAGTAATTGTAAATTAATGTCACACAGGAAATGCCTAATAAATTAATTAAAATTTTATGGTGTTAAAGTCGGATTATATATATGGGCGCGTATTTGCAAGTTTTTTCGTGTTATTCCCTTAACTATATTTTTATAAAGGGGAATATTCACACAATTTATTTTTTTTTAAATTGACAGACAATTGAATGCAATTTTAACAAATAGATTTTACATTTAGTTGGCCTGCCCCTATGACAATGATGTACCTAGTTAAGTATCTACTTATAATTCAAATCCCTTATACTTTAGGATCCCAATTGGGAATTACAAGTGATCGATGAGATCTACTCAAATCATAACCATCAGTGTACTTTTCTGAATAAAAACATTCGTCTGGATTAAATATGATTAAAATATATTTTGATAAATTGGGTATCAATAAATGTATGTTCACTTTTGTTGTGTTAAGGAGATACCGTGTATGCAGTGGCTACGTCGACAGCACTTCAAGTAAAAGAACTTTTGCAAAACAGGAAGCTTTAATAAGAAACACGGATTTACAACCAACGATTCGTAATCTAGATTGATGCCTGTTTTGTTTAAGCGTTAAGTAGGTACACTTTCAAAACTCCTCTTTTTCCATTGCACTTCACACAGAAAGATATAGCGCTTAAAGTATCATCGTTAGGCCTGTGAAAATAAACAAAAACCTCGACGTGTTTGTTAATGCGGAGAGGCTTAAAAGTATTTTTAAAGCATCTGTTGACTGACAGCCTTATAAACATGTCACTTTACCGTTCCTCTGACAAATTTGACTACCCATTCACTTTCGGGCTCCCCTGAGGTGCTATTCTCGACGACATGTACTGCCTCCAGTTTTATTTTTAATCTGGGTGGGTATAAAACGAACGGGGATCGGCCTCGGGCCAAGGTGCGCTTACCGGGTGGCCCAAATTATAAACTACGAAGAACCTGTCTTCGTGTCATCCTCGTCGCTGCAGAACACGAAAAACGATATCAAATATCAAATTTATCGCACGGCGAAGCATAAAATGATGTTTTTCTTTCCGTTAACCATATTTTTCCGTCGGATGTCAGTCCACAGAGATTGCGTACATAAAATGCTCTTAACTACTACTTTTCTATTTACGAAGTTGTTTATTTATTTGTAGTCGTTTTCTCCGACATAAATCGACTTACAGGGTGTGACATGAATGTTGGGAAATTTCTCTGGAGATGATGCGGTATCTCTTCTAAAATTCTTCACTAGATGCAGAATGTCAAATAAACGATGTGTCGGTAAAATTATGTTTCCTTTCAAAAATGACATTAAATACGTGGTTTTAAGTAATTTCATTAAAGCTAACAATTTCTAAAATGACCGACAAAAATATGAAATCATATTTCTGAAAAAAATCTAATTATTATCGATTTGGTAACGTGAATGGATGTTAAAAAAGTAATAACTCGAAAATATCATGCTTTTAAAAAAATTAAGATATTTTTTCTCTAAAATTGTCAAGTGATATCGGAATTTTGGGGTCTTTAATGATATAATGACTTCCGATTTCTCCGTCACTGGTAGATTTTTGTATAATAAAAAAAATCCAGTCTACGTTTCATCACTACGCCAAATATCTTTTTAGTAAACGTACATTTTTCTTCAAATTTCAACACCCCGTATAACACCCAGCCTTTTATGGCGTTCCTTCATAAAACTTTTTTGTTTATTACCACCACTCGAATTCAAATGTTAAGTTTTGTTGTTTGAAACACTACTCTGCTGGCTACAGATCCCGTCTGGCATTGCACACAAGCGACATTTAACAAATAGACCATTCGTTAGACAAAGTTAAGTAAATCGAAGCGAAATTTATTTTTCTTGACTGTATTTATCGCCTTATACAGGCTGTTTCAGAAAGACCTTCCGTAAATACAGGGGATGATAGTACGACAAAAAATAAAAATTTTTTGTCTGCTCTTGTTTTCGAAATTTGGTATTCCTGGGTTTTTAAGGATGCCAAATACGCTGGTCTAATTATTTTTTGTATACTTCATAGAGGGCGCTAGTTATGCTACATTCGTATTACATTTTAAGTTCCAATTTTTTTGAGGTTAGGTTTTTTACCATTCGGGCTCCAATTTCCAATGTACAAGATTATTTTATAAAAATAATGTACACTTGTTAGAACTTCCTAATGTAGAAGGGTTTCGAGAAAAAAGGCTTTTAATTAAACTCTTACAATTTTACGGTGTATAAAGTAAATGACTTTTCTCAAAGTAGGCTTATGTCAAAACGTATCGATGGATGTCTCATAAGCAACGCATATATTCTTAGTAATATTTTAAACTCTAATTAAATTTATATCAAAATTTTAGTGACTAATTAGTCATTACTAACTACAGTCACTAACAATCACTAAAATTTTGATATAAAGTTAATTAGTTTAAAATATTACTAAGAATGTATGGGTTGTTTATGAGACATCCATCGATAAGTTTTGACATAAGCCTACTTTGAGAAAAGTCATTTATTTTATACACCGTAATATTGTAAGAGTTTAATTAAAAGCCTTTTTTCTCGAAAACCGTCCATATTAGGAAGTTCTGACAAGAGTACATTATTTTTAGAAAATAAAATTGTACATTTGAAATTGGAGCCCGAATGGTTTTTACCTAACCTTAATCAAATTATAATTTAAAATGTAATAGGAATGTAGCATAACTAGCGCCCTCTATGAAATATCCAAAAAATAATAATGCCAGTGTATTTGGCATCCTTAAAAACCTCGGAATACCAAATTTCATAAAAGTATTTCGCACCGTTTGGAAATTTTCGTAAAAATTCTATTTAAAAAATTTTATTTTGTCGCTCTGTATCTCGAAAATAATAGGAGATAGGTATATAGACAAAAAATTCTTATTTTTTGTCGTACTATCACCTCCTGTATTTACGGGAGGCCTTTCTGAAACAGCCTGTGTATTAAAAACAAACATTTTGGGACATATACAGGGTGATTCACAACTTATCCAAAAAAATTTGGGAATAGATGCAGCATGAGGAATGGAGTCAATATTGTAAAAAAAAATTTGTAAAATCCTTATAGTTTCTGAGAAAAAAATTATTGAAGTTATAGCACATTAAACCACTGCATAGCTGGACAACTGTAGTCTCTAGCGTCATTCGCAATACGCGTGTGACTCCTAATACTGAAATCCGTCGTTGCGGTAGTTTTTACCTGTTATCTGTGTTATTTACATCAGTTTTTTAGTAGTTAGTGTCAAAAATGGCTTGCGTGTATAGCAACTCAGAGTTGATGGATATCGTTTTAATTTATGGTGAAGCAAGACAACATTTGTATTATGGTGAAGTATTTGTGTTATGGTGAAGCAAGACATCATTTGTGTTAGTTCGTAGAAAGTGAGTAAGACGGACCCAAATGTGTTTACACGTGAGTGGATAAAATTTTGAACAATTGCTGTTGCAGCATCGGGTATGTCAAATGATTTTATTATTTAAAAACGCAAATTAATTTTATTAATAATTAATAAAGGCAAAAGCATTTGAATTTGCCGATATAAAATAGGTGCAATAAAATTCTATTTACATATTTCTTTCCTTGCGAAAGGTTTTGTCCGTTTTTATCACGCCGCCATACCGGTCGCATTGTGCGAGGTCAGGTTTTACAGTGGACCAGTTTCCAGTGCCGTGCAGAAGTGTATTTTTAAATCAATTTCGAACTGACCTTTTTGATTTTTTCTTTAAAAAATTGTATTTGTAAGGGTCCCCTGTACATAAAGAATTTTTTTTTGGATAAGTTCTGAATCACCCTGTATGTATCAATTTTTTTCTAATAGTTTAGTTTTCTCTAACCACAAAGAAAGTATATCTCTGGTGAAAGAATTGAGTAATTTAAATTTGCAATTTTTTCTTATTTTATTTTGAAATTTTATATTACGCGTATGACGTCGCTAAGTGAGAAAGCAGGAAAATCACTAAATATCTGATACCCTGAGGGAG